AGAGTGTCCCACAAGAGTGTCCCACAAGAGCGTCCTACAAGAGTGTCATTTGGACATATGTATATAGCTTTTCGAACGTGTTTGCATTCGGGTTCGTGGGCTCCATCTTTTTTTCTTTAACCTTCAGAGCAGTCTTTCTTCCTTCCTTTCTGTCTTCCCTTCCTTCCCCTAACTGTTCAATGTGTTCAAGGACGTGGGCACCAAGTGGTTCAACAACGAAGCCGACCAAGAGGACCAAAAAGAGGATCAGCCAAGCAAGAGTGAAGGCGAAAGGACCGTGTGGCCGAGTTGCTGCGAAGCTCCACGAAAAACGCTAGAGCGATGGGTCGCACGTCTCCCAGACGTCTCACAGGTCTCCCCTAGGTCTCCCTCAGTCTACGAGCGGCCTCCAACCTACTATCGTCCTTGCTCCTAGTAGCGATGCCCTTTGTTCCTAGTAGCTTCTTGTTACTAGTAGTAAGGCCAGGAGCTACTAGTAGCGTCCTTGCTCCTAAGAGCGATGGCCTCCAACATCAGAGCGATGGTCGTCTCCCCTAGGTCTCCCTCAGTCCTGGTGCAATGATTTGAGGAGAAGCTCCTGTTCATCAGTGCTGAGCTCAGACAACCTGCACAGGCTGTGCGGCTTTACGGACGGAAAAATGCCCCTAGCTGTCCCCTTGAGCATTAGCTGACCCTGGAAATGCCTCAACGCTACTTTAAGAAAGCGTTTCTGCAAAATGAATGCAATGAAGTCCAAGGTAAAAGCCAACAATAGTCATTTGTGCATCTTTCTCAGTCAGTGTGTGAACAATGCGCTGCAGCTCTGCCTGGACTGGATCATCACGCCCACCGTGCCAAACTCATTGCTCACCTTCTCGTTCTCGTGCGTTGCTTAGATGTTGGAATCGAAGCCGAGACGCGCCGAACATGTAAATCTTGAACATCGTTTTCCCGCAGGAGCAAAGGGCATCGCTACTAGGAGCAAGGACGCTACTAGGGGCTCCTGGCCTTACTACTAGGAGCAAGGACGCTACTAGTAGCAAAAAAGCTTCAATCCTGTGATTTGAGCGTGCCAAGGTACACTCAGCCATCTCTAGACCAAATCCTGAGAGGTTCAGAAACAGCCCCAAACCACAAGAATGCATCATGTGAGTTCCAAAAGACTATATATACCACAAAAATCAATAAAATGCCACTTAGTTGCCATGAGACAATCCATTAGTATCCCAGCAATTGCATTTAGTTTCAAGAAACTCTCTTCCAGCACTCCCCGGCTATACTTTGGCTCAGTACCCAGCGAGCATGCTTCAAGTGATTACTGATAGTAATTGCAATCCTCAGATTGCTCCAGACGAGCGATGGGGCTGGTGCTGTTCACCAGCAACCAAAAACACACCAAGTGTTAAACCACACCGGCATTAGGACTTCCAGCCAAGGTACAAAGGGCAAAAAATGAAGCCGATTAAAATGCAAATGAACACTAGGCCCATGCCGTTGCGCGGAAAGTGGTGACAGACCGTCCTGCTCCGCAAGTAGCTGCAGCGAGAAGTGGAAAGGCGGGTGATTGATACAAGCGGCCTCCAACCTACTAGCGATGGCCTCCAAGCAAGGCTGGTTGATGCTGATGCCAAGTAGCTTGTGAGCAATGGCTGAGTAGTACGGCCAAATGTTCTTGGCAGAGATGAAGTCATACCCGTCTGCCGTCGTCCTTATATGTGAGAGGACTTCAAGAAAATGTCAAGAGTCTAAAGTACGTTTCCTCTGCTCCTTCAAACTATATACAGTAATTAATCCAGCCCTTGGAAGAAAGCACTAGAATGCCGCTTGAACCAACTATCCACAAAGTGGACACAGTAATTTACATCTGCAAAAGCACCGATAATTTACTGTAGGAAGACGGCGGACGGTAGTGTAGGACTTCTTCCGTCAAGAGTAGAGATATGGTAATTTGCTTGACCGCCCTGGCCTATGCAACTTTCAATCTAAAGCTGCTAAAGTTATAAGAGCTTCTTCCCTCCTATCGCTTGCTAGTAGCGTACCTCTTACTACCTAGTAGCTACCTCTTAACCTCTTCACTCTCACAGCCTATGAGGGCCTACCTCCCTAAAACAAGAATGGTAAAATATCGCGGGAAACAAAAAGTTGTGTAAAGCACTCGCAAAGGACAAGGCACTCCAAAAGCAATTTCAAGAGGGGCACAGGGCTCAGCCGAACTAGTCCAGGGCAACTGACGTCGCCCAGGTGCACGAGCCATTCAAACATCCTCACTGGAATTGGTCATACAAACCCCCCCGGATGTCAATCTGAAATAAGCCAAAACCCGTGTGAGGAATAGCCCAAACACACTGCGTTTTTACACCAAACCTGCACCTATTTGTTACAAGACCAAGACGCTCATACAAACGCTTCACCGTGTAGAGCGCCGCTTCAAAGTTTTGCAACAATGTCCCCATGGGATTCACATTGACACCTTTTCGCTTCACATGTTTTGACACCAGGAGATTCAGATTGATCAAGTTCGTTTCAAAATTAGCCGTCACTAGCTGCTAGCTATTCTAAAGGGCATCGCCATCGCTACTAGTAACAAGGCCATAACTACTAGTAACTAGTAACAAGAAGCTACTAGTAGCGATGCACTTGTTACTAGTAGGTACAGTTTCGTTTTGTGAATGTCCAAGATAGACAGATGGAGCCTTGTAGATAGTACGCGGCAGTATGTTGGAGGATAGGCTCCACCTTAGCAGCAAATCTCAGGTTCTCAATGCCTTCACTCCGGCATTGTTCAAGATAAATGTCAAATGTCTGCTGAAGAGCATTGACCTTCTCGGCAACCTCTTCGTGAAATTTGATGCGTGATGATGCCACTTGCAAATTGTCATCTATGTTCAAGCCTCAGGCTGTACAAACCCAAGGGATCCAAAGGGTTGAAAGGATGGAAAGGATCCGTGGAAGGATGCGCATGTGAAGATCTGGAATGCAAGAGCAATCAATGCAAAACAAGCATCAGTAACCGGTGATGAGCATGGAGATATAGAAGCACAATGATGCACAAATGCCGCAAAACCTGACGGTGGAAGAGAATTTACAACGCCACATCCGAAGATATTCTTGTTGCTACTAGCGTCCTTGTTACTACTAGTAAGGCACTTGTTACTAGTGGCGTGGCACTTGTTACAAGTGGCGCGTTCTGCGATGTCCAAGGTCCGAAGTTGAACACCGACTGGCGCGAACAAGCGAACAATGCACGGTCCAGGAACAGCACGAAGATCAGGATGCATGGGGAGAGCATGTTGAGAGCACCTGAACAAAAAGACATCACTTGAGCAAGGATTGTGTCATATTTGCAAGGTGAGACGTTTAATGAAATCACTCGAGAATTGTGTTTGATTGTGGATCGCTGAAAGCCAAGAACTATCATTAGGTGTATTCAGTAGTAAGGGGTAGCCGAGTTCCGTGCAAAAAGAAACCAAGCAGAAAATGACAAATGCGAGGCCTCGAAAATATGGGTTGATCAGGACCTTCGGCCGGTTCCAAGCAAAGCCTGCGATGCCTCAGACATGACCAACTTCCAGGAGCTTCCAACATAATGGCGATGGCCTCCAACCTAAGAGCGATGGCCTCCAACCTAAGAGCGATGGCCTAGCATGATGTAAAGGCTTCCAAATGATGTAAAGCCCGAGATACAGAGCAGGCATGCCATTCCCAGGAGCATGATCACGGCCGGGTAAATCCTCCAATTGTCAAGCGCAAGTGGTGACAACATTCTTTCAGAGCTTTCTCCGGCTAAGCTGCGGATAGTAGATCAGCATATATCCGAATGAGTGCAGGTTGGTTTTACCTGCCAAATGGGTGTCATCACAGCAAACACTACATTCCTGACAGATGATGATCAGTATCAACAATTCTGATAATCTCATTGACAGTTGCCTCTCGCCAACAACACCATCGCGGTGTCCAAAGTCTCTCTCACGATCTCAAGAATCAAATCGACCTGTGAATCATGGCGTTCTCAAAGAAGTTTTCAGCAGGCACAAAAATTTGGTCTTCTTACCGTCACGTGGAGCTGTGGATTATGTTGCGTGACAAATGTGGCACAGCCAACTGCCGCCCGTTCCGGTGATTCCACCACACAAGTCCCTTCAGGAAATTGGACCGTGGACGGTCACGGTCCAGTCGGAGGATGCTACAGAGAGGATGCCAAGGGGGAAATGAATTTCTATAAAACCTTTGAAGCGCGACTAACTCTTTTCCTGGCGGTGTATGCGGGCGCAAGGGAAAGAAACCAGCTGATCATGGGATTTGCATTTCTTGGTGCACTTGATGGTCAATAGTGGAGTCAGCTAGAAACGAGAACTGTCTTTTGTCTAGAACTTCACAGCAATTCCGAGAACAAAAAGGAGAATGTACGGGCCACTCCAATACAAGCCCTTCCTCCCTTGCGATGGCCTCCACCCTACTAGCGACGGCCTCCAACTGGATTCATCTCCCGTTTCAGGGAACAAATCCAACACAGAACCCGAAAGGCCCGACTTCATCTCCCCATGTTTGAACCGACTCTTCACGCCTGCATGAACTCGTCCTCCAGTGCATCTGCCAACAGCTGCACCAGCTGCGTCGCCAACGGATTGTGCTCACCACAGGAATCTGCCGAATCGCAGATTTTCAGTTCCAAAAGGAATGCAAAGACATGCCAGACATGCTCATGCTAGCAAAGGCCGTTACAAAGGCCCACAAAAGCGAGGCTTTGCCGACAAACAAATGGAGAATGGGTCTGTCGAAACTTGAATAAGAGCAAATGAATGGAGATAATGCCAATCGCTTTCGTCAATGCATTCACTCATGCATTCACTCAAATTGCTCCAATACAATTCACGCCTGGAGCATAGACCAAGGATTGATTGTAGGCGTGCTCAGCCTTGCGATTCAGTCTCGGCATCTTTCACATCGGTGGCAAGTTCCGTCAAATACATGTTCCACGGTGGGTTGTGACGTTGAGGAGGGTTGTTCGACCTAGTCGTCCTAGGGTCGTTCGACCCGCTCTCTTTGCCGGAGCTCCCCCACCGAAACAAGCTCGTCCGTGAGCTCTTGGAAATTGTGCCTGAGCGCTGCGCAGCGCAGCATCCGAAGTGAAGTCCTAGATCTATGGAAGGGAAAAAGAATTGTCCACAAATCCAAGCAAAGGGAAAGAATAAAGGTCAAAACATCTTATAAGCCATATATAAGCATTTAAAAGCATTCTATTTCTAGGTGAAGTCCTGGATTTAAATCGTTTACAATAGCCTTCTTGCTAAAAAAAAGAAAAAGAAAACGCGGTGCAGTGCTGCACATCTGAAGGAAGAGTCTGGTCACAGCAAGCCGACCATCATGTTTCTATCAACACGCGCTTTCCTGGATGAGATCGGCGTTGCGCCCTTCTCAATCTCATTGCTATTAGGTTGGAGGCCATCGCTACTAGAAACAAAAAAGGGGTGAAAGGTCCAATCTGGCTATCGCGGATGCTTTTCGCAGAAACTCACGGAGGTGAATGACACCCAAAAAAGACTTGCTTCCTTGAATCGTCGGCCAAACCCCAAACCGAAAAGCCTGGCTGTGGGTGGAAAGGCTAAGCGGCTAAGTGTCAAGCTATGTTTACAGGGGTGACATACTGAGGTGACCTCGCAATGGGCTCCCAAGGCCTTAAACATCCTCCAATGCCTCCTTTGTTCCATTTCTTTTCTAGCAATGGCCTTCAATCTGATAGCGTCCTTGCTCCTAGTAGCGATGCCCTTTGTTCCTAGTAGCGAACATCCTAGTAGTAAGGCCAGGAGCCCCTAGTAGCGTCCTTGTTACTAATAGCGATGCCAGGAGCCCCGTTCGTAGCGATGTTCTTTGCTTTCAATCCTTTCGACCTTTCTTTAGACCTCAAAGGGGGTTTCCCATGACGCTCGCCGTCGTGCTCAGCTGCATCGATCTCTGCAGGTCGTCCATTCGACCCTCCAAAATCCGAATATCCGAGCGGACCACGAAGAAGCGGATCACCTGCGAAGCGAGGAGGACCAGAAGAAGATCGAAAACACGTAACACGTTTTTGAAATTGTGAAATAAGGAAACAAAAGAGAACGAGACAGAAGAGGACCACACCAAGATCACTCCCAGGCCTGAAAGATCAAAAAGAAGATCAGGCAAAAGACCTTGCAACAAGAACCCTCCAAGACAAGTGTTAACTAAGCAGGCAGCAAAACACACGAAGCTCAATCGGTCTTTGAGGACAAAACGGAGAAGACGATGATGCCATGTCTGGTGCGTGGCAGCCAGTCGCATTGGTCACCCTTGGAAAAGTCAATGACCCAGCAGACTTTGTAGGCGACAAACAGGCTGAAGATAAAGAGCAGGAAGGGAATGATGGCACAAGAGTTAGCCCAGGTCATCCATTCCTGGCCACTTTTGAGTTGAATGTGGAAGATAAAAGGGGTAAGACTCGTGGTAAGGCAGTGAAAGACAAACATATTCATTGAAAGATCCAACACCCTGAAACAAGGTGTTCCCGCTAGCGGTGTTTCGAACATGGCATTCCCTTTGGCTCTCTCACTCCTCATAGGTCGCTTCCGGCAGAGGCACAGGCGGTGCAGCACCCAACCTCAGAGGTGCATTCTGGTGCTTCAGCATTTGTTACTAGCAGTAAGAATGCTCCTAGTAGCTTCTTGTTCCTAGTAGCAAGGCCAGGAGCCCCTAGTAGTCCGATCGCTCCTAGCCAAAAATGAAGAACTGCAAATGATTCGGGTCGACCTCAAGATCACGCTGTTGTAGAAGTTGGCCTGACCATTTCGACCGATCTGCTTCCGCTCCCGAACTCTTAGACTTGCGAAGTCTTGCGGTTCAAGGGCCTATCGATGGTACCCAACTGGGCGAACCCTGGTGCCTTCAGGGAAATGGTCGGTTCCTGCCGGCCTCCCTTTTGAAGAATCCTTTTTGGTAGGAGGGTTCGGGGGGCCACATTTCTTTTCAAAAGCCGTCTGAAACACGGGCTGGCCTTCTCTGGAGTGGCACCCATCCAGCACCTCGGTGCAAACCAAGCCTTTCGGAACGTTTGACTGAAAGCCTTTCGAAAGTCTTTCGAGAAGAGGAGCCGGAGCCTTTTGGTGCGTTTGATCATATTCAAAAGAAAAATTGAAGGAGCATGGCTTCAGACAAAGAGGCCCTTCTTTTTCAAGAAACACTGTTTCGAGAGGGTAAGGCCGGTATCGGCCGGTATGGGTAGGGCGTTCGGTATTCCAGGTTCCTAATAGCGTCCGCTCCGTTCGTAGCGATGCCAGGAGCCCCACACGTAGCGAACATTGTTCCTAGTAAGGGTGCAACGAAACAACTTTCTGTCCAAGCCTTGCAATTTGAGGATATGCATCCGCATAGCAATAACCTCAAACTCATCAGCTCAACAGTGTTCGGAAACGAAACTGCACCACTTCCTCGCCTGGCTCAGCAAAGCAAGCACCCATGACCTCAAGTCGGAGTAAACAAGGAAGGGAAGGGAAGGTAACGTCGCCGGGGAGTCGCGGGGGAAGGAGTGGTCGGGAAGTGAGATAGATCGGTAGCTCGTACTAAGCTTTAAGGTACGACGTAACAGGAAGCTATGGATTAAACGTGCGGAAGCAGAAGAACCCTTTGCGTGGTCAAATGGTTTCAGTAGATCTTTAGAGGAAGTAACCTTTTTCCTTGTGTCCTTCTTTCTTTCTTCCTTCGTTCCCTTCCCTTCCCTTCCTTATCTTTGGGAAAGAACACAATTCTGATGCGCGTGATCGAAACAATGCAAAAGGTAGCGACCATACATTCGACTATAGTCTCTCTGAGGCCTTAGCACATTCGGAGTTCTCTTGGCATTGGGTTCCTGACGTAAAGCAGGTCCTGGCGGCGAAAAGCCAGCATCAGTGGCAGAAAATAGGGGAAAACCAAGCACAATGTGAAGGCGCTCGTGAAATCCAGTCCAATACTGGTTCGTCTTTGCACACCTGGGGGCGCAGTTTCGAGCGTGCGAACCTTGACCAGGACCTCTTTGTAACGAAGCGCAGTTTCGAGCGCAAGCAGTCGCACTCGAATCGCTTGCGCCCAGCTGCGGAGCGCAGTATGCCGCACAGCTGGGCCAGGTGCAATCCTGACCGGTTTTGACGCGCACAAAAGAGAGAAACTCAAAAAAGAAAAACCGTCCATACATTTCAAGACCAATATTTGCAGTGCAACAAGCTATGCTTTGCCTCCGAGCGATTGGGCTCGGTGTTCTGCAAGCGAACCATGGAGGCGTCGTGGATCACCAGGCTCTGAGCGCAGCGAAGCAGCAACGGCGTTTTCGGGTGCCGTATATTATGTGGAAGAATACCTAAGCTCTAGATAGCTCTAGCATCCATGTACTCTAACATCCTAAGATACGTTCAAGAATTTTTGACGCGTTCTTCTTCAGTTGGTCATTAGATTGACATGTGACACATGGCATCACATGGCATCACGTGACACATTTGTCTCAGCACGGTCTCTTGTGCCAGGCCACAATGACACGAGCGAGCATCTCGTCATTGTCGGCACGAGTCCTTGCCGTCCTGAAAGTGTGAAAGGTGTAAAATGGCGGCTGAACCAACACAAGGTCTCGTATTAAATAGGTCTAACTAACCAAGGCCTCGGTCTTAAATAGGTCTAGAATAGTATATCAGTGCCCTAGAATGTGATAGGAAGCATATACCATGATATACCCTTACCACTCACTAGAATGCATCCTTCGAGGATACTCTTTGAGGGTACAAGAATCCCTTTTTGTCCTGTCTATACCTTCCAATGGAGGACCTAGGGATGGCTTTAGGTCTTTTTGTCTATACAAGAATGCATCCTTCCAAACATGTGTTAACATCTTATATAGAAAGAAATAGTAGAAAACTGTAAAAACCGAGAAATCGGGTCCTGTTGGTGCGATTCTTGAGGCTCGCCAACAACGCTTTGGCCTGTTTGATGGCTTCGGCCTTCTCCGGCGTCATCTCCTCCTCTCCCGGCGGGACCACGACGCCTGCACCGTGCACCGCCGCTTCGAGTGCAGGGCCATGCACATCTCAAGCCTTTTCGGTACAACCGAGGAAAGCATCTCAACGTCTTTCAAACATGCGATCTCACAACCCGAGTAGTATTGCTGTAGAAAAATCTCGCAACAGCGATCTTGTTCACCAAAAGAGTTCTGGGAAACAGTTGTTACACCAGTAACAAGATTGATCGGGTTGATCGATCCAAAAGATTTTTCCTACTGAGCACATAGATGACTCCCGATTGGTCCGCTTTCGCAAACAAAAGTCGGCCTGGAGCTGCCCAAGCAACCATGGACGAGGCCAGGAGTAGCAGAACCACATGGGCGATGGGTCCTTCGTGTCACTTCGTGTCAAATGTGAAGCCCAAAAGCCAGCTCTGCATTCTTCCCCATTCTTCCCCACCTGCTCGCATCCTGCAGATCCTGCAGTTGGAGTCGGTCAAAACGGCAACACTTTTCCAGTGACCAATTCGTCCAATCCTGAAATGGTCCTGCTCCTGATGCAATGGCTGTATCGATCCAGAAAGATTCTAACGGTGTTCCTTGTGACAAGAAGTCTTCTTTTGGGATTTGGGACTAAGATCAACAAGAAAGGGTTGCATGTGTGTGTGGCTTTCATTTCCAGCGCCAGTGAGGCTGCTCTTGTCTCCATCATGCCCTCCTACTCCTTGAGCCGACAAGAAAGGGGCCAAAGCATGAGGCTTTCTCAGCAGACTTGCCAGCAATCTTCTCAAGTTCCATATGCTGCAACTTGGAGGTGTGGACTTAGGTTAACACCCAGCAATGATAGCAAGTTCACAAAGCCTTAGGTCGCAGCACCGGCACTGTGAATGTAACCCCACAACCTACCTACTCCCTCAAAAATCGACCAGTTACTAGAGGTGACGAGTAGTTAAGGAAGAAAGGAAAGGAATCAAAGGAGGAGAAAAGAAAGCTCTGCTGCGTGGCCATCTGAAGATGGAATCCTTGGCTCCCAGCGTGGTGCTCAGGGGCGCAGCATAGTGGAGAACAAACGCTGCCTGCGAGGCTGCGAGGGCGTGGGATCTATGGCTAATCCCAAAAAGCTTCTTGTTACTAGTAGCGATGCCAGGAGCTACTAGTCGCTATTTGCTCCTAGTAGTAAGGCCAGGAGCTACTAGTAGCGTCCTTGCTCCTAATAGCGATGTCCTTTGCTCCTAGTAGGTTCCTAATAGCGTCTAGCTACTAGTAGCGATACCAGGAACTACTAGCAACTAGTAGTAATGCCCTTGTTACTAGTAGCGCCTGGAGTGAAGCAGAAAACCAAGGCCCCCGAGACCCCCAAGGCCCCAGCGAGAGCGAAGCAGAAAACGAAGACAAGCCACCTCGGCGCCAACACGATACAACCTCCACTGACTCCAGGGGCCGCAATCCATAAAAATCGCAAACAGCTGCACAATGCAAGAAAATGCCTCCGACGTGTGCTCAAATCACAGAAGCTTCATCTCAGTGTATTGCGGGAGCAACAATGCCAACAGCAACGGCACACCTAAGACGCGAAGAAAAAAGGGACAAAAATGAAGTGACGTTAGGAGCAAGGACGCTACTAGGAGCAAAGGGCATCGCTACTAGGAGAAGGACGCTACTAGGGGCTCCTGGCCTTACTACTAGTAACAAGAAGCTATTAGAAACAAGAGCAATTTGCTGTGCCGGAGTCGCTCTTTGGAGAGTAGGCTCGGAGCAATTTACTCGACGCCTGCGCTTGGATTTTGCTAGCCTCAAGCCGAGAAACAAAGAACTACGTACCATCAAAGAGATGTGTTTGGCAACAAAAATGACTAGCAAAGAATGTTGCAATTCTATTTGATTGAGAATACTAAGTGTGCCAAGTAACTTTGCAGCTTCAGCGTCCTGAAACTCATCCAGTGCTCCGTAGTGTGATGCCACAGTCAACCCTGGCAGACTTTGCAGCACTTCACTGACTAGAAATCGTGCCACATCATTCCAAGAAACATTCCAAAAACCCGAAGTTACTAGGAGCAAGAAGCTACTAGGGGCTCCTGGCCGTACTACTAGGAGCAAGCACGCTACTAGGAGCAAAGGGCATCGCTAGTAGGTTAAATTTCTGAGAAATGACTCCAGTCCGGGTTTCCACTTCTTTCACTCTTGCGGCACCTCGAGGCACATCGCCCTTGGCCAGCGATGTCCGGTGGAAAAAAAACGGACCAACGAGCAGGTCGAAATCGAAATACTGTATTACGTAGTTTACGTCGGGTGCAACCATTTGAACCATTCGTACCTTATGTGGCTTCCATTTGGCTTCCTCACAGTTTGGCTACCCTTGTGGTTGCTCGACGAATCATATCCAATTTGTTCACTCGAAGACAGCAGAATACAAAAATCACAGGTGACATGCACGTTGCAGCATTGCATGGTTCACGGAAATCCTTCGTTTGGAAGAATCCTTCGTCCCTCAGTTTCTCCATCACACATCTGCAGCATTGAGCTGCCAGGCGCCAAGTGGGACTTCTGCCCCAGGCCTTAGAGTGCTTAGAGTATCTTAGAGTGCTTCTGCACATGTCAACACACTTTTCCTGAGGGATCCACATGGCAGCCTGCATTTATGTGGAAAGGCCTAACATGCCTCATTGAGCCAACATTGCAAAGTCGTCCCAGAAAAGCATTCAAACTGGCAGATCGGGCCGTCTCCAAAGTTGGCAGATCGCAACTTGGACTTGGGAAACGTAAGGCGACTCTTTGAAAGATAAGAGGCTTCTTCCTGAATAATGCCTGTCTTTGCGTCTCTACGTCAGCGTCTGCGTGTATCATCAAGTGTCTTCAAATCCAAAAAAAGAGGCTCTCCCTTTTGAGTCCCAAAATGAGGGCGCTTTCACCCTTCCATGTTGTTAAATTCAAAAAGCCTACTAGCGATGGCCTCCAACCTACTAGCGATGGCCTCCCCCTAAGAGCGATGGCCTTCCCTGTTATTAAATTCAAAAGTTGCTCTCAACAAAACCACCCCGTCTCGGACTTTCCGCTGCTTCCCGCTGAACGCCGCGCCACGCGCCAAGCGCCGCGAATCGGACGTCTTTGGAAGCCTCAAAGTACCGTTGAACAATTTGAGGACAAAACTTGGACCAACAAAAACGCATTTCACGATTTGACGACAAAACTTGGCAAAGACACTTCAAGGTCAACTTGGCAGCTACCCCCAAACGAGGTCACACCAAGTGATAAGTCCACACTCTTCAAAAATGGGACGACGGAGTAACGACTGAGTCTGACATTGGCCCTTCTTGGGCGAGCCACTTTTGGGCGCACGGCGAAGGGCGATAAGTACGCCACTCCAAAATGAGTCACGGTTTCACTCAATCTCTCAGCTTCATCACCTTGGTGCAATTCTTGGCACCATGTTGTTGAAGAGAAAAGCGTCCTATACCAATCTCAAGAAACGAAATGACACATGGCGACTTCCAGGTTTATATGGCGAGAAGTGACTGACGACTTCTGGCACCAGGGCACAATTTGGATCTGCCCTGCTGCAACTGTGTGAAGAGCTGCGAATCCATAGGCACGTAGCGGTGGGATTTGGGGTCCATCATGAAGACGGGATCCGGGACCTGCAAAGGAAGAGGCCAACACGGCGCTATCACGGCGCTATCACGGCAAACCTCGAAGTCCAAGCATTCTTTCTTTAAAAGTGCGCAAGTAGGTTCGGAGGCCGTTGCTATGAGGTTCCTTAAAGTCCTGTTTTTTTCCTGAATCAAGTCCTGCCGCGGGCTTTAAACCTAGGGAAGGTTGGGTGTGTCGTGTGGTGCTGCACGGATCCTTTTCTCCGCGCAACCTTGAGCCAAACGATGTTTATCGAATGGCGAGTTTCACCTGAGTGGTTTCAAGTACACTTCTCGTTTTGTGCACCTGACTGCAAACAAAGTTTGGAGGTTGGTGGTCCATTTCAACTGCCACACTCCCCCTGACCATCGCATGGTCAAACTTCAGGAAAAAAAGGAAGTGATCCTTCGACCACATTTCAAGTGGTTTTTCAACCACAAACTTCATAGCTGCCGTCAGAATCCGAATCCGGATCCCTCAAGTGGTCACTTTGACCCGGCACACCACGCGGCCTCACTGGGAGTTGGCTCACAATGCCCATCCATTGCGGAACCTCATCCAAGTGTTCGTGTAGAGGAGGAAGTCCAGGAGGTAGTGTCGTTTCGTGCCCCTGAACTGAGCTGGTTGAGCTCATATCTAAATTCCTCCTCCAATCTTCCCTTTCACCTTCACTTTCTGTGGCGCTCGACGCCGGCCCAGACCGCAGGTTCTCCCCGCGAGAGAGGTAGCCGCCAAGTCGCCCCATGTAGCCAAGGGTCACGCCAGCATCAATGGCGTCTGAGCCCCGAGCCGCTGCCGTAGATCCAGTCGCACTGGACCTTGTGCTGGGAGAGGTCTGTGAAGGTGCAGAGGACGATGGCGATGAAGTCCTCCTCACCGAATGCACTTCAGTTCTCACCCAGGTCACATTGGCCGTCGGAAATTCCACCTGTTCAGACGATGGAGTGCCAGTGGAGTTCTCTGCCACCGAATCCAAAGTCGCCCGTCGTTGGGGTGGTTCCAGCGTGTCATCAACTGGAGGTGGACCTGAGCTGCTCGACTGTGGATCGGTGGAAGTTGTTGTTTGTCCCAAGCTGTTGTCTGGGGACGGAATCTCCCGGAAAAAGGTGTATCCCACCCATTGATCCTGGTCAGGCAAGACAGGGCCAATGCCACTCCTCCAGTCGTCGTAGAAGATGGTTTTCTCTCCATGGTGCCAAACAACAGTTACCCTTTGGTGTCGGATGGATGCACTGTTGAAGGGCGTCATCCTGTGTAGCGGGTGGAAAGGTCGTTTTCGAGGCTTCACGTGATGCCTCACCCACCATCCATAGCGCAATCGCCCCCAGCGGTCGCGGCCTTGCGGAGGGAGCTGGAATGGGAACCACTCCCAAACCCGCTCTTCCGGCTGCTCCGGTCCAGCACGAGCCCCAAGCGCAGCCAGCCGCACGCCATGATCGCACGCACGAGACGCGGCCGAGGTATAGCCATTTAGGCTAGGTCCCAACCCCCCCCAACCCCTCCCGTGCGGTGGGTTCATTTTCCCTCACCGATCTTGACTTTCTTGTTTCGACCGATTCGCTTCCCATGGGTGCCCCCGCCCGCGAATCGACCGTCAGGTGCCCATTGGTCTTTGTGGGGTCTTTTTTGTCCTTTTTCCACCAAATTGCAAGTGCAGCTACCAAAGCTGAGATGGTGACACATCTCGCCACCTTGTGACTTTCCTGCGAAGGGTTCCATGCCGCCATGCCAATGATGCCGCCCAGAATTGCCATCAACCTTGACTTGGACAGCGATGCACCTGGAGCTCGGTCAACATCCTTGGACAACACACGAGCTCCAATGAAGGTGTAAAAGTTCTGCCACAGCGTCGGGTTGACGATTGGTTTAGTGAGCAGGTCTGAGGCAAGTTCGGCACCTGGAACATGTTGGGTTTTCCAGCAGCTCTGCTGAATGCGTTCCTTCACAACGAACGCCCTCAAGCGAAGGTGTCTTGTTCTCCAGGGTCCATCCGGGGCGACCAAAATCTTCAAGCCGGTTTGAGAGTCACCGCAAAGGACCTGTTGGCCTTGGAGATGAAGACGATTGTCCTCCAGCACATTGACCACTGAGGCGACTGACTCTCCGATGACGACTCCATCAACGTAGCCCATCAGCTCGGCCTCAGCGCTTGAAAGAGTTGCAAATGGTTGTTGTTTGCTCTCCCACTGCACTGGAGAGCCATTGTAGGTCACCAAAAGACCTTGCTGTCCTCGTCCTCCTTGGGGTCCATGAGAAGCATCTGAATACACTTTCAGGCAGGGCTTTTTGGCAGCATCACAATCTTCGAGGGACGACTCCACCACCTGCTTGGTGTAGCGAAGCTCATAGTCCACTGTATGCTGCAAGTAGCCCAACATGTGAGCACCCCACTCCAGAACCTTAGTCGGCGCTTTCGTCACCAAACGTCCCATGATGGAGACACCGTAGCAAAGATCTGGTCTTGTGCGGCCACTCAACCAAAGAAGTTCTCCGACCAAAGCTTGAGCTCGTCGGACTTGAGAGATTTGCACATCAGCTTCAACTTCATCTTGAACTCCCAAAGGAAGAGGCGTTTGACGTGGTTTGATGCCTTCATGACGAGACAACAGATCTCGAGTGTACGAGGCCTGGTTGAGGATCACCGCATCGTCGCTGCAGCTGATCTCAAAGCCACAAAACTTGATGGCCTTTTCTGCCGTCGCCCACTCTGGTTCCGAACACCGCCAATGAGCCCTGATCCCATCGATCACCGACTTTGCCAAGGGACCTGGTGCAGCAACAAGCATGTCATCAACGTACACAGCGAGGAAGCCTTCAGAGTTGTCCTCCTGCGGAAGAGCACCAGGGTCGGTTTTGATCAACTTCCAAAGGTTTGGCTCCGGTGTGGACACCAGCTGGTAGTCATGACCTCCTGCCGAGAAGCGCAGTTGAGGTAGTTCACGGTCACGGTACTGCGACCAATTTGCTGGAGCATCGTTCAGCCCGTAGACGGCATGCGAGATCTCCCAAAGTTCCGCAGCATCGCAAATTCCAGCTTCAATTAACACCTTTGGTGGACGAGCGACTAGCAGACGTTCTTGTTCGTCAGGTCGTGGTGCAAGAAGGAAGGCTGTTTTGACGTCCACCGTGCCGACTGACCACGAGTTTTCAGCCGCACATTTCATCAAGCAGCGCAACGTAGTTCCATCTGCTCCACCTGCATAGAGCGAGAACGGGTTTGAGTCCTTGGGCTGAGTCTCACCTGCAGAGTTGCTGCTCTCTTCATTGACCTTGGTGAGATGGTTTCCACAAATGACCACCCGAGCTCGAAGACGTCCATGAGGACTTTTGACTGTAGGAACAAGCATCGCTGGAGCCAGCTCCATAGTGGGAAATCTTGGATCCAGGCGCAACTTTTCCTCTGTAGTAGGCTTGATTGCCTGAGTTGAGGACACCAGCTGTCCATATTCATCACGCAGAGGAGGTTTCCATTTTTCCAATTCCCTGCGAACTTGCTGTAGATAGGTCTGAAGCACTGTTGCTGGAGCATCTGGGGTTCCCATTGATGGAGCCAATGCCGACAGCTTGAAGTTCTCAATTGCAGAGTGCTGAAACGACAGTTGATCTTCAGCACCCTTGAGGAGTAGTTCAACTTCATGAAGCCAGCTGCCATGGACACTGCCGGAGTTCTCACCAACTGCAACTTCACGAAGGCCTTGACACCAAAGCTGTTTGAGCGCCCAGTGTCGTTGTTGTTCAAGCTCATGCCACTTTTCCACCTGCTGCCAATCACACAGCAGTGAATCTTCGACCTCCCCCTGAAGGTCATGGTGCAAAAGTTCATCACCAGGTTCAACTTTATCATGTAGTTTGTGGCCACCATTCACCTCCTCCAACACCCCCTTTGGCTCAAGCCCCAGTGAAAGCGACTTGCCAACATCCAACGATGAGGACCAGTCCAAAGAATCCAGAGAGTCCTCCCCCCCAGCTCTGCAAGTTGATAGAGCTGGAACCGACTCCTCATAGAGCGCTCCCACGCGGCCAGCCAGTGGATGGTCAGGTAGTGGAGGTGAGTGTTTTCCAGTGATGCGATGCTTCACGGCAGGCACCTCTTGGAGTTCCATGATCGCCTGATCGGCTACCGGCGATGGTTCAAGTGCAGTGCGCACGTGCAACAATTGGCCCTTCTTGTCCCGGACAATCCAGCCATGCGACATGTATGGGCAGGGACCAAGGAGTTGCATAGTTCGGTATGGCATAGAGAGCTGACCTGCACGATGCCATCGTTTGGATTTGACCAAAACTGATGCTCCGAAGCGAAGCATAGGAGGACTTTCCAGCCCAAGTCGTTCAAGTTGTAGTCGAACACGTTGTTCGGCAGCATGGCGAAGGGCAACGGGCCAGAAGGAGTGAGGTAGTCCAGCATCATGAAGGAACAACCTGGTTCGGCGCTTGAGTTGGTTCACTTCTCCTTCAACACGGCCATTGGCCTTGGAGTCATCGCCAGCCGTCATAGTCAAGCGAATCTGTCGCTGTTCACACCACTTCTGAATTGGTGCTGAAGCAAATGATCGTTCACGATCTGTGTGCAATCTGTAGACCTGGATGCCCAGCATGCGGTACTTGGCGTGCAAGCGGGACAAAGCACGGACCAGTGACTCCACCGTGCGATCAGGAATCACTTCAGCCAGGGTGACATTTTGATGTCCTTGTGGTTCTTGAGACTTCTCAATCTCAGCCATTTCATTGAGCCTCCGGACTTCATCTTCAGGGACTAGGTCACGGTCTTCTGGCTCGCAGGGAATCTCCTCCGTGTGCTCCACATCCTTGGTGGTGTCGCATGGCTCAGTAACCTCACCTGGAAGCTCAGAGATGATGGGGACGGCCACAGTTGAGACCAGTGCGTACTTGCAAATGACTCCTGTGCCCAAATCTTTCCCTTCAGGAAACGGTCCACAAAGGTCGGCTGACATAGTGAACTTCGTGGCGCTCCCCCCAAGCCTCTTGTGTGGTTTGTCGCAGCCCATAGCTTCCCCACAGATGCGGCAGTCAGCACGAAAGGGGATGTGACCCTGCTTGATATGTCGATGCCAAGCTGCAAGGTCCATTTTGGAGACATGGTGACCGCCTCCAGCCCCCTTTTCCTCCTCCAAAACGCCAAGCAACCTCCTCAAAGCTTCTTGAATCGCTCCCACAAGGCCTGGTGCCCATGCTGCCCAGGTCTTCGAAGTGCGAATGCGGTCACCGAGGTTCGACGGGAGTGGTCTGTCATCACAACCATCGCCTTGGAGGCCATGTAGTTCTTGGAAGGCAGGAAGGTTAGTCAAAACTGTCGTAGGTTTTTTCCTCTGGTGACCCAGCTTTCCTTGATCGAAAGTGACCAAGCGAAGGCCAGCAGTTCCAACCCAAGCCATCAGCTCCGGGAAGCACCAGAAAGAAGCGCTTTGCCCACCTTCTTCACCAGCAAGATATTCAGCGCGATCTCGCGGTGATTCCAACAGCATGCCAACATTCGTCGATGTTCTGCGGCATTCTTGAGCTCGGATCCATAGACCCATGTGCTTCGTGCACAAAGCTGTATCGCCATGAACCAGGCGAAGTTCCTCCTCCGAGAGGTCATTGAGGCACCAGCGATCTTCTCCTCGACCACGAAGGCGACGAGGTCCTGGTGGTGACCGGTTTCGAAGGCGACTCACGGTCCTGCAGGGAGGACCTCCAACAATTGCAACGATGCGTCCCAAAGACGCCAGCTTCCACAAATAGCCCCAAACGGCCGGGTTGTGCAGGTTCAACGAGGAGTTGATCTCCGTGTCAATGCACAGCCAAGAGTATGCTCCTCCGCCAACACAATTCCACTTCTTCACATCAGGACCACTGAATAGGTGTACGATGACCCCCTTTCCAGTGAGGTGTGCCCTCCGAATTCTCCGGTTCCAGGGCGTTGTAGTTGGATCTTGGCTCTGTCCAGCCATGTGTTGAAGAACAGGATGTGGTAGTTCAGGAAAATGCTTCTGCCACCACTGCCGGTCCTCCTCAGAAAGTGCCACCTCCCCCCGATCCTCGAGCTCGATCTGGGAGAGCATGTCCAAAGCAGGTTGACGATGCATGATCGGGCAGCCAGATCGAAGCCAGCAGTCGATCGCACCGAGTGTTGGGTGACGGATACTGCAACCCGTCCTTCGCCACTCCACCTTATAGCCCCGTTCAACCAGAAGCCCCAATGGGATGATCGGCTCCACCTCCTCCAAGGACAACAGGGTGCGGTGCTTTGGATGGCGATACAAAACTGTAGTACCTGTAGCAAGTTCAACCTCGATGGGAGTCATCTCGCTCCTTTCATCAGGGTGTGCAGTTCGGAGGGCATGTGTTGCCCCTCCGTCAAGGAGTGCAAAACCTTGAAGACTTGTGTTCACGGGCTCCACAAAGACCTGTTTCAGGCGAACCGCTTTCAGGGTCCTGAGCGTCTTGAGGAGAGTTGTAGCTTCATCAAGGAGGACAGAAGCGGAGTCAACCTTTGACTTTTGGTCACCCCCCAACTCCTTCTCCGGCGACCCACCACCGTTCTTTCCCGATCCACCTCCAGACACCGTTGGCGATGACAAGAGCGATGAACTCGGAGACGATGTAGTTCCCGAAGCCTCAGAATTTCTATATTGTGTTTCCTTGGTAGGACTGTCCTTCGACACCTCCTCACCAACGCCTTTCACCTTGGCATTCTTTTTGAAATCCTTGGTGCCCCTCTGTTGACGGTGAGGACAATCTTTCATCATGTGACCTTCTCCTGAACAGAAGAAACATCTTTGCTGACGATCCAGTCCATCCCAGGAGTGCGCATAGCCACACGTGTCCCCCCTCCGACACCCAGACTGAGAGCCCCAAAATCTGCACGGCGACCTCGGCTTCTCATCTTGGCCTTGGCTTGAGTGCATTGCTTTCACAACAGGTGCAGCGGTCTGGCTAGACGGAGTCGATGATGTTGTAGCCGATGTCTTTGGGGCCACCACCATAAGCGACAGGTCCTCCATCTCCGCCTGCAAGTATTCGCTGAGATCTTTGATGGACTGAAGTTCGGGCCTCAGATCCACCAGCAATTCCTGCCTCACCGAAGACACCCGGTAGGCCACTTGACTTCCTCCCAATTTCGACAGGGAGTCCATGATGCGCCCCAACACCTGCATGAGAATCAACGGGTCAGGCAGGGTCAAACGAAGCTCTTCTGCTCGCTGGAGCCATCGTCGCCAGGTCCTTGTAGTCACCAAGAGGTCCTGGATGTTGTTGGATGTTTTCACTTCCGTCAAACACTTCAAAAGTGTAGTTCGTTCGGCACCTCCTCCAGGCTGGAAAAGAACATGAAGTCGAAAAAGGATGCTGACCGTTGTGACCTTCCTGTTGGCGATCACATCTCTTCGAAGCTGGTCGGGCAAGATGCTCAGGAGGAGCGATACACCACGCTGTTCAACACGTTGGTGGACAGGGTCGATGTTCTCCACAGGGCGCAAGCGAAGGCGCTCCAAAGGGGTGGCAGTGAGCCACTTCTCATAGAGTTCACCAGCTGCAGCCAAGCATCCATCCCACCACAACTGAGAAGTCGCCGAGAGGTCTGCCATCAACGGATAGGTCATAGTCAACCAATCTCCATATTGAAGTGCAGCTCCTTCAGTTGAGGGATGAGGCAAGCTCAGAAGGTCCAAGCTCCTCACAGTTTCCGGAATCACCGGAGGCTGAGTAGAGTCACCTTGAGGTCGTCCAGCATGAAGTCCTGGAGGAAGGTCAGGTTTGGTGCATGGCGGAACTCCCGCGCCCACAGGATCACCAGGAGGTAGTCCAGGAGGTTCAGGTAGAGCACGGCCTCCATCACCAATACCAGCGCTCGCGGCCGAGGCATAGGACGAAGCATCACCAGGTGCTCCACCATCAGTCAACCTCTTGACTTCACGAGCGAACTTATCCTCCGCCTCCCGCAAGATCTGAGCTCGGATCTTCTCCACATCGCCAGCTCCGGGACTTGAAGGTGCAGGTTTCTTTCCACTGCTTTCAGCCATACGTACATGCCCTTCACCTTTTGCAGCCTGTTGAAGTGAAGTGCTCCAAAAAGGATTCACAGTGCTGAGAGGCCCCACCGGAGTTGCCGCCGCATAGGGATCCAGCGTTCTTGGATGGAGAGCTTCGCGGCCCACCGATCCCACCATTGGAGAAACCATAGATCCATCCCGATCGGATCTCCCATCCCTGACCGGGGTTCCAGCCGCCAACGCATGCCCTGGAGGACCTCCATGATCGTGCACATGAGGGACTCCCTGATCAGCTTGGCGAAGAAGTGGATCAAGTAGAGTTGAACCCAGTTGTTGAGGTCCTCGTAGTGCGTTCTGCAGAACTTCAAACGAGTGGCGCACCGCTTCTTGGAGATGCCCCAAACCCATCGACTGTCCCCTAGGATCCATCACCAATTGGTGTACTTGTTCTTGTGCAGGTTGAGGATGGTAGGTCACAGGTGGTCCTTGCGGTGCCCTCAACAACTCCGCAGCGGAAGCTCCCAAACGTTTCATTTCTGCCGTGGACGACGATGCCGGCACCGACTTGGCCCTCGAGCGAAGCTCCTCTTCGATCAAGGCGTCGAGCTTTCGGTCAGCGACTCCCACCTCCAGCCGAGGTGTAGCAGCGGCAGCCTCCTTCACAACAGCCTCCTTTGCGGCAGCTTCTTCTTTTCGCTCCCTAGAGCGCTGTTGCTTGCGTCTTCGATGCTGCTCCATGGGGACCAACAACCTGAAAAAACAGGGTGGACTTCTACCGGCCACAACCCGTCAGCAGGTTGGGCTCATAACCTAGGGAAGGTTGGGTGTGTCGTGTGGTGCTGCACGGATCCTTTTCTCCGCGCAACCTTGAGCCAAACGATGTTTATCGAATGGCGAGTTTCACCTGAGTGGTTTCAAGTACACTTCTCGTTTTGTGCACCTGACTGCAAACAAAGTTTGGAGGTTGGTGGTCCATTTCAACTGCCACAAAACCAAAACGGCACGACGAGACACAGGCGCTCGGTTCCTCGTCCGCTCGTCCGCTCGTCGGCTCGAAACATGTCCCACCTTCGATGGGTCAAAGCCCTGATCACGCAGCTGCACCTCGACTGCGAAACGACAGCAGAGTTGTCACAAAGAATCGTGAAGAAACCGGAGAGACTAAGAAAAACATTAACTCAAAATCCGCGCGGCGGCGCACCGGAATGAAGGCACCTTTTTGCTTGATACTCAAGAGCGCTCTGCGGCGCGGATGCATGGTTTCATGCGCAACTGCATGCCCTCCAAGGATGTTCAACTGCCATGCTTCATGTCCGTTTCACACCCGTCCTCATCCTTTGGGGGTTTTGCAGCTGCTTTTCGGCGCTTACGGCCATCTCGAATGGCCTGCTTCCTTGCTTGTGCTTCTTCAGAAGCTCGCAGGGTCCAGGTCCCCTTTGAAAGGGCTTCAAGGAGAGGTTCCCTCTCACAGCCAACCTTAGTCAAAACATCAGCCAGAATTTGGGCTGTGTCAACCCAAAGAACCTGGAGGTCTGGCTCGTCGTCGGCCGCTCGGTCCAAAATTTCCTTCACCTGGGCAAGGAGAATCCTCACCCGTTTGTCGTTCGGTTGCCCTGCGTCTTTGTTGAGCGTAGACTCAAGGCTTTTGGCATCCGTGAAGAGGTGGAGCTTTTCCTTCACGAAGTGGCGGTCGAGGTCCGCCATGCGACAGCCAGGGTGCTGGAGTTCCAGCAGGAGCGACCTGACATAGTCGGCAGCTTCGGCGGCTGTCAAAAAACCATTCGTCTCGGCAGCCAAAGTCGAGCGACATACCCGCTTGATGCTGCCACTGTAGGTCTCCAAAACCAAAATGGCCGTGGGAACACCGGTGGTGATCTCGGAGGTGCAAAGGCCGACGACATAGCCGGTTTGGCTCTTCAAGCCGTTGGTGTTGGCAAAGCTGCTGTCGGACATGGCAAAGACAGCCAGGTCCTTGAGCTCGCACGGAGGCTTGATGAAGTTCCACTTCTCAGCTGGTGTCTCTTTCAAGACTCGGACCACCTTGTTCGGGTCCACCATGTCCTTGATGGAGGGAGAGCCCAGCTGTTGTGAAGCGATGCTGACATTCACCAAAACATCTGGTCGCGTCTGGCGCGCGATCCAGCCAAGTGAGCCAATGAGGGCTCGGAACTGTGTCTTCTCAGGCTCGGTCAGGCGTGCATTTGGCTGAGCACGTCGCTTCTTGTCCAGGACCACATAGTCGAGGCTCCAGATTGCATCTTCTTGATCGACAGCGATCGAGCCGTCTGGGAGCTGCTTGACATTCTTCCCGCAGAAGCGGAACTCACCAACTTTCTTCTTCAGGTAGATCTCCTTCTCGAGGATACGCATTGACTCTTCATATAGCTTGCCAATGCCGGAACAGTAGAGGTCATCTACATGAGAGATCAGGATGCCGGTCAGGTTCTTGTCCTCGTAGAGGAAGAAGAGTGCAGGTTCCAGCTTGCTCATCACCCATTGCTTGCTGAGGAGCACACGATAGAGCTTTCTCCACCAAGAGCGCCCGGCGTCACGAGTGCCGTAGATACTTCCTTTTGCTCTCAGCAGTGAGAGTGGAGAGATGCCCGGAGGTGGAGGCCTTGGTGGCCTCAAGATCAGCAGCCTTGAGATGCCTTGGCTCTGAAGGTATGCCGTGCTGGCATCATAGGCCTCAATGGTCCATCCCATGACAACGGTGATGGCCGTAACAAAGTTGAAGGCGAGGAGCGATGCTGTAGGTGAATCACTGCGGATGCCTTGATCTTGTTCTTGGCACCCTTGTACCACCATTCTTGACTTTGCTTCGAACGGGTACTCGGCCTTGATCTGATCTTCTGACTTGCCCGTCTTGCGAGCGAGGGCCATTGCCAGTGCTCGAGGCTTGGAGTTCTTGTCGGTGTGAACCCACCGCGTGCCGATCACCTGACAATCGTCGGGCAGTGCTTGGATCTGTTCATCCGTGAGGATCTCCACAGCGCTGAACTTCTGCCAGCTCAGCCATTCTTTCTCCATGCTGGCATCGAACTTGAGGCGGTCTTCTGGTGAGAGAGCTGCGAGATTGATCTCTGAGCGAACTGCAGCCTTTCCAGTGAGCATTGCCTAAGGGTCCAGCTGGTAGGTCTTCAGTGACCTCAACGTCAGTGGAGGTTTCTCCGTCTTCTTGGCCTTGAAGGCGACGGAGCTCTTTCAGACCAGAATTGGCCTGGAGGTCATTGCACTCATCGGGCCATGGATCGGCCAGGTACGGTCCGGGGTAGACCCGGGGCTGGTTATTGGACGTGGTGGGGCCATAACCATCGAGGCGGTCAGGGTCCCGTCTGGCGGTGTCCAATGTTGCCGTGGGCTGCGGTGGTCTGAAGCCAACTGGCGGAGTTGGTGGCACATGAAGTGGAAACGCTCGTCCTGCTTGTGGGTCAGGCGGCGTGTTGAGCCTGGAAAGTGGTTGTGGCTCTGGTTCGGCCACACTGGTTTGCCGAGGAAGGGCGGCGCCCGTCCTTATCTCTTGCTGTGGTTCCTGAGCTGGTGGCTGTGGCGGTTGTGGTGCATCAAGTTCATTGTCCTCCGGAACTGGAGGAAGATCTTCACCCCCTGGTAGGTCTTGGGGCGGCACTGATGGTGTGTAGACCATGTCGCCGTCATCGCCATCTGGCTGGTTGATTAGGTAGAAGATGGTCTCGCCTGTCCATTGGAAGGTGAGTGGACGTTGTTCTTGTGGATCGCTGGCACGCCAATCATCTTCAATGGTGTCAGTCAGGGCGTGATCTCTTGCTTCAGCCGTGTAGATGGCTTCAGTGACTCGCACATTCTGGAGCTGGTCCAAGTCAACAGGGCAGCCTTGGTCAGCGGGATGAAATAGAAGAAACCGTGGTTGTTGATGCACACGAACCACACGGCCATCGCCAGAAACATGCCAAAAATCGACGACGGAACCCCCTGGCAGGTTGAGGTTCTCAAGCTGGAGTGGCCGGGCGTCGACATAGTTGCGAGCACCACGAAGTGAGCGAGATTGAACTGCGTAAGAGGGAATGCAGTGAGCGGCCAAAAGCTCGTCTTCAGAAGCGAATCGGAGTTGCTCACCTGTGGCCAAGACAACGGAAGGTCCGTAGCGAAGCCAATAGGAGTGTGGTTGACCGCCTTCAGTGGGTGGATCTTGATCTTCTAAACGACGTGGGTTGCGAAGTTCCACACCAATCACTCTCGCTGGACCAAACCAGTTGTACTGTCGTTTGTCAGTCACTCGCTGGGGACCAAGCTGCTTCTTGTAGAAGTAGACGTAGGATCCAATCGGGTATGGTCCTCTTGTTGGAGTGCTCTGACGAAGAAGGGCTCTGCGAATACGAGAGTCTGTGTCCAGTCTGACCTGAGCAACACGGGCAGCTTCACGGATCTGCAGTGTCTTTGCCATCTGTGATTGTGGGTTTTCAGCTGCCTCAAGAACTTCTAGTTGCTGTCCGGCTTCATTCGTGAGCAGTGAGCCAGGTAGTCGGAGTTCGGGAACACCAAGCACCCATTGGTTGGGTGAGTATCCATTACTTCGTGGAAAGCTGTTGCGGGTCTGAGTGACAATGCCGGTGGCCAGGATGACATCATCTAATCCAACGATTTGGCACTCAAGGCATGTCTTGATCCAAAGATCTTTCCAAAGACCGCCAGCTCGTTCACAGCGTCCACCTTTCCATGGAGCTTCCAAGGGCATGACCTCTTGCTCAATGCCGAAGGTCTTGAGGTGGTCTGCGAACCTTGCCATGAACTCCTTTCCTCTATCAACTTGAATACTGTGAGGGAGCCCGCACCATGAAGTCCAGGAAGTTGCAAAATGGCGAAGTGCTACACTTGAAGACGGGACTCCGGAGTGTAGGCCCATACAACAAACAACCTGGAAGCCGGTGGCATCACAAACAATGTTCAAGAAGGCATAGGTGGAGTTGGCACTGTCCTTTGCAAAGAAGGTGTCCATCAGGATGTGCCTGTTGAACTCATATCTGTTTGGAAGTCTGACTGGATTTGGTCTCTTGGCTCTGATGCTATCACCACAGGCATCGCAGGCCAGAAGTCCAGCTCCTCGAATTGCTTCTTCTTTTGCACCTCGACGACGGAGGATCCTTTGGAGAGTGGTGTTCGTGCAATGACCAAAGTTGGTGTGGAGGTCACGGAGGATCTTTCTGATCTCAGGATCGATCTGGAGCCACTGTTGGCGACGTTCACCTTCTCCAATGCTGAGGATGGGGTCCCAGGCGGCTGCACGTTCAGCCCTGAAGTCATGGTCGTCTTGCGGTGCTCCATCATCATCTTGTGGTTCTTGAGGTAGTGGATCTTCCAATTGGCCAGGTCGGATGTAGACCGGTGGTGTGCCAAAGTTGGAGCCGAGTGTGGCGACTCGACCTCGTCGCAGTTTCTGTCTTTTGGGACTGCCTCCTTGACCTTGGTCATGACCTCGGGTTTCACTGGGAAAAGCCTCGTGGACACCTGAGTGAGCCTCGGTCTCGATTGCGGCTTGTTGGATGATGGTGTCCAGGACCAACTGGTTGAGTTTCTCGGGCCATTCAGCAGCTTGTGTAGTCCGAGAACCATAGGTGTTGTTTCCCTCCAGAGGTTCATGACGGTGGTCTCTGCTGCAGCACTTGTTAGCAAAGATGGGCTCTGCAGCAATCATGGAGGTGATGTAAATTGACGGTTTGTAGTGGGGCAACTTGCTCTCTCGGTCGTGATAGCCGACCATGCAGCCATCAACACGGAGCAGGATCAGGTCGCCGGAGGTGATGTAGTTCATAATGTCTTTCATCTCATCTTCACATAGCGACTCAGTTCCGGCGGGCTGCTCGATGAAGACATGTCGCTTGGCTCGAAGTCTGTCCTTCACAGTCTTGTTGACAGTCTTGAGGACTTCACGGTTGGATTCACGGAGTGCCTTGACAGTCTCTGCAGCTTGACCTCCCTTGGCAAGGTTGAATCTTGACCAGGATCCCCAAGGTCCGCACGGATGGGTGATGATCGTGCAGTAGGGGTCTTCGACCTGATAGTCCTGATGCAACCGTCGGCGACCAGCAGAAGTAGATGCATCCCAAGAGCTTGAAGTGATATCCAAGGGGATGCCAATGCTCATGCCGATGAAGATGCCAAGGAGGGAAATGCCCAGCTGCCCAGCAAAAAGCTGTTTGAACCATGTCTTGCCGCAAGGAGGTCGGCGTTTCACCTTGATGGTGTTCTCATTCTTGAGGATGCGAGAGCGATTGTAGTCGTCGCCATCAAGGGAGAGATTCATGGGCTCAAGCTTCTTGCCCTTTTTGGAACTTGGCTTCCGTGTAGTGAAGTGTCCCTCGTCAACCATGGACAGGAAGATGTCTTCATCATCACAGTGGTGGCCATCATCTGGTGGCTCATCAAGGTCGAGGAACAACGCTTGATCTGGTTCAGGTGGATCAGGAGGTTTGTTGGCCCAGGGTCCCTGACGGGCTTCGTACATCTTGGTCATGGCGACTTCTTCCCTCATCATATCCAACCATTCTTGTTGGTCTGCCCAGTCATCGGGGTTCATGTCGTACTCATCATAGTCGATGCGGGCATCAAGGGGAAGCTCGTAGGTCTCGTCATGGATGTAGACCTCTTCCTCAGGGAACTCTGAGATCTGAGCCTTTTCAAAGTCGATGTTGGACTTGATGTCGCTGAAGTCAAGCAGGCTAATGGCCAAGTGTCCTCTCCGAGTGCGATGAAGTGGCAGTGAACTGATGCCAAGCTCGCTGAAGGACACGGTGTTGTTCTTCAAGTCGATGATGGTTCCAAGGGCCTGCATGAAAGGTCGAGAGATCAGCATTGGTGTCTGGCCGTCGGTCTTGGCAGAGTGGATGACTCCGTGTGATCCTCCAATGCCAACTGGAAAAACTTTTACAATCTTGGACTCGGCTGCTCCTCCAATGCCCTTGAAGGTTTGTCTTTTGTCACGGACCTTGGGCACCAGGTCATACTTGGAGATCTCTTCTTCAAAGCGATGTGCCCATTCTGAACCGTGCATGGTTCTTGTGCAGCCGGAGTCGAGGATGGCCAGGCCTGGAGGGTCTTGCGCTTCGAGTGCAAAGGCCTCATACTTGACGTTCTCCTCGATCTCTTCGGAGGCAACCATCATGCATTCGCACTCTTGGACCTGAGCAGGCATAGATGGATCTGCTCGTACAGGGAAGATCATGTACCTCGCGCCGGTCATGTCATCAGACTTGCCTCGCTTGGCAGCGGAAGATCCAGCACCCTTCACGAGTCGGTGACCAGCTGCCCATGCCAGTTTGACCTTGCCGTACAGGTAGAAGGCAAAGCGATAGACCGTCGGGTCCATGGGCTGATTGTCCAAGGCATGCTTCAATACCTGCTGGCAGTAGGGCTCGTACTCGGGAGAGGCAGAAGCAACTGCAAAAGGAATCGTTCCCTGCTCCAACATCAAAGGTTCCTGATCCGAAGGCAAAGGGATCAAGATGTCTTCATCACCTTCCGCAAGTGGTGGAAATGGCGGAAGTTCAACACCTGGTGCAAGCTGCACTCCATAGAGCCAGGCCTGATGCCTGGGCTGTCGCACGATCCGTGCGGTTGACATTTCCGAAGTGGTACTTGGTGAAGAAGGCGACTTGACATAGCCTGAAGGAGTGCTCGGTGCAACCAACTCCCAGGCTGAGGGCGCAGCTGACATAGCGGAGGAACCGCGAGGTGGTGGTAGAGGACGTAGCCCAGCGTACTCGTGAGTCAGTCGGCCTGCATAGCGGTAGAGACCCTCGGATCGAAGTGCTGATCCCCACTTTGTGGCCATGAGAACCTGGACTAAGTAGCCCCACAACTGAACAGGTTCTTTCCGGCGGGCGACCAAAACAGTCTTGTCACAATCCTTGCAGGAGAGGTGTCTCGTGTGGCCGTTTGCTCCACGATGATATTGACGCTCAGGACCACCATTTCCTCGGGCATGCTCGCAGAGGATTGGGCTCTTGAAGTTGACAAAGCATTCGGAAAACTTGGAAGCGGTGAAACTAGCTCCCGGTCCATTGCCGTCGGAGGGGTCAGCGACCGGGTCATTCGCCATCATGTAGGCGTCTGCATTCCGTCCAGTGCCGTCGATGGAGTCGAGGACTGGGTCATTCGCCGTCATGTCGGCGTACTCATGGATCAGGTCATACGTTGGGGGCAAGGCATTCTCATGATCCATGTCCTTCGGTGGCACTTCAGAGGTGTCCGCGATGTTGATGACAGGATGCTCCAAAACAACATTGTTGGCGACAAGGGTGGACCATTCCTTCTCCATAGCAGCATGGAAGGGCCGCTGGAAGTCCTTCAGGTTGCAGGTCTCAGTGAACTGAACCTCAGCTTCTTCATCAGACTCGATCTGGTCGTGGAGCACAAAGAAGGATTGCGATGTCCTCTTCGGTGAGGCTTTCTTCTTAGCCTGACTTCCCTTTCCCTTGCCCTTCTTGGTGTTGGAGCGTTGAGGGCATTCTGCATCGCCGGACCAGTGACCACGCTGGCCGCAAGTGGTGCATGGAGCGACGCTCTTCAAGAAGCGAACAGCTGACTTGCGCTGTTCTTTGGCCTTGGCATCAAAACTCAATTCTCCGGTGGCCTTGAAGGGATATGGACCACCTTGTCCTCCTGAGCTCTTCTTGGGAGAAGTGCTGAACTGCTTCTTCTTCTTCTTGAACTGAGCAATGGTGGCGTATGCTTCAGCCACCTGGGAATCATCTAGCAGTTCTCGATTCTCGTTCAGGAGGGCCTCCAACTCTTCATCGTCGGAGTAGTTCACGAAGGCCTCATCTGCCGGCTCGTCATCCTCAGGAACCTCATCTTCGTAGAAGATCTCTTCGCCGAGGTCGGCTGCAGGGTCGTCATCCTCATCTTCATGGGTTGCAGCCAAAACTGAACGAGCCCTTTGGGTCATCTTCCACTTGTAGCGGCTCTGAGGTGGGCCATCATTGAAGCTTCGTGAGCCTCGACTGGCCCCCAAATAATCTCTTCTTGCAAGTGGCTTGCCCGTGGCTTGAGGGTATTGAATCCTCAGGGCATGACTAATCTTCTTGAAGTCATACTCATTGCCAACACTTGCAAGGACGCTCAACTGCTCGCGGTGGTCCAGGCCGGAGAAGATCAGCAACATCATACTGCGGAGGTTGTCGGAGACCTGGGTGCCAGATGATGCTTCCAGCAGCCGGTTGAAGTCCTGCTCCCTTCTCACAATATATTGTTGCATCGTCTCTGAGGGCTTTCTCCAAACCTGGGGCGAGTAGAAGGCGGTCAGGAAGAGCTCGTTGATCCTCACCGGAACTTCAGCAGCTATGGACTCTTTGAGAGTCCGGATGAGGAGCTTCATGCCAGCATCGGTCGCCTTTCCATCCCTCGAAGTGCACAGGGTTTCATGGCTCAGCTTGCGAACAGCATCATAAGCAGCGGCCGTGAGCCCTGAACGAAGGTGGATCGGTGTGGCGATCTGGGTGGCGTCGTTGCCAGCTCTTCCATAGAACAGGTCCCAAGCCCGTTCCTCATATTCTTCAAACACATCTGCCGTCCCGTCGAACTGCGGGACTCCATGTCGGTCACATTCGAGGCGTGCCGACATCGTAGTGAGGGCGTGGGCCCAGGATCTGCGTCCGCGGCAGCGCGAGGCGGCAGCAGCGCAGCAGCCGAAGGCCAGGGCGGTCGCTCGCCGTCGAACGGCCGCCAGGAAGGTCGAGCGCGCAAGGCGCGAGGCAGCTGCGTGCCGCGCTAGCAGATGCCGCAGCTAAGCGGCTCCGCCTACCATCAAAATCCGCGTGGCGGCGCACCGGAATGAAGGCACCTTTTTGCTTGATACTCAAGAGCGCTCTGCGGCGCGGATGCATGGTTTCATGCGCAACTGCATGCCCTCCAAGGATGTTCAACTGCCATGCTTCATGTCCGTTTCACATTAACAAAACAAAAATTAAAAAAAAAAAAAAGGAAAAATTCCTTATTGTTGTTTCTTAAAGCTATTCCTTTTGAGATTCGTTCTTCTCTTTGGGATGATTCGACCCTAGTCTTTGGGACTCGGGACTCGGGCCCGATAGATGCGTCAAACAGAACGGCTCGTAGAGAGCTCAAGAAGGCTCCACTTCAATCAACGTGGAACTCGCATTAAAACCGTCGACCCAACGAACGTCGGAGTTCGAGGGAACGAAGAACGGAAGAAGCAACCAATTGGAACGACGAAAGGAACGAGCGAAGAAAGAAGCAAAGGCCTTCTGGTGCTTGAAAGTCCCAGTGATCTCCATGTCTGACAAAATTCGAAGGAACTTGGGACGTGCATAGCTGGGAAGCTCCTTGAAACACTGAACGCTACCGAAAGAACTGGAACATGGAATTCTCACTGAATGCATCAGGAACTCTTAATTGAGTAACTGTCCATGCGCTCCTAATGACACAAATGGCATCAAATGGCTGATTGCACTCTTGCTGGCTGTCCTTCTCGCAAAGGCTTTGAAGGGCATCCAGTTTTTCTCTAGATTGCAAGTCCTGAAAGTCTTGCCGCATGGCATTCAAACAGTGAAAGTCTTGTGAAGCAAACGACCAATTGACTGAACTGACTCATCTGGCGCGGAGATTTGCCACGAAAACACATCTCCTGACCACGAAGGGCCGCCATGCATGCACGTCCCTCCGCTTCCCCAGGCACCTTCCGCTTCTACAAAAGAAAAAAGTCTGAAGAAAGAAAGAATCTGAAGAGACAAAGAAAGAAAACAACGAATGGGTCGACAAAACAACGAATGGGTCGATCCAGTGCTGCCTGTACACCATAGACATTCGCTTCTTCAACACCTGGAAAACTAGAGAGGATTTGAGAAACCTCCATGGTGGAAACGTTCCTTGGTGGCACAACTGGTCAAAATCACAGGTGTCACATATGTCAGAATCCAAAGGGAAGCGTGGTCTTGGTGCAGCCAAAAGTCTCGCCCTTCCACCTATTGCAGTTCGATTAAAGGGAAAAAAAGTTCTAACGAGGTCTGGAGAAAACAGGCGTTACTAGTAGCTTCCTTGCTCCCAATAGCGATGCCAGGAGTCCCGAGTAGCGTCCTTGCTCCTAGTAGTAAGGCCAGGAGCCCCTTAGGCCCTAGTAGCGTCCTTCCTCCCAGTAGCGATGCCAGGAGCCCCTAGTAGCTTCTATGTTACTAGTCGCCATGTTCTTCTTCAACTTCTTGAAAAAGTCGACCCACCTGAAGGTGTCGCCAATTCGGTCCACGAAATGCCAAAGGCCCTTGTCATCCTCCAAAGCTCGAAGAAGAGCTGTCATCGGTTTGTAGTCTTTTCAATCTGATTGACATGATCATGATGATTGTCATTCCGCATGTCCATCATCCCAGAAATTGCCTTTTCATCATGTCTTCGTCCAATTCTTGCAATGTTTGGTCTCTCACATTCACCCTCTGCAGGTATCGCCGTCGCCTTGCACAAGAGGTCACCTGATCTGAACCAGGCATCGCCCTGCTTAAAGACATCACGGAGGACCTGCACCGACGGTCGACAGTCGAGTTGGGTGCGAGACTTCCGAAGCCTCCACGGTGAGACTCGACGGGAGCGTCCGGACGCTCCTAGGAGCAAAGGGCATGGCTACGAACGGAGCGTTCGGACGCTCCTAGGGGCTATTTGTTCCTAGTAGTATGGCCAGGAGCCCCTAGAAGCGTCCTTGCTCCTAGTAGCCATGCCCTTTGTTCCTGGTAGCTTCTTGTTCCTAGTAGTAAGGCCAGGAGCGCTGTTCCCGTTTGCTTTAGCCTGAAAACGTGCTTCAGCAAACGCTCTGTACAATGACCAAACCTTTGGCAGGTAGATCATAGTTATTGCTAATTGGAGTCTGACCAAGCTCTGGATCTTTGTGCGACATGAATTGGTCCTTTTAAGACAATAGGCAATAAAGCGTCTATGAGCTCTTCAGGATGTCCACTATTTCACTACGATGGCCCTCGACATCTTCCGGCATAGCGGTCAGACATCAGAGGATCTCAAGAGCGTTCTATCCCAGCTCTGCCAGACCTGCAAAACCACGTTCATTCCAAACCCCACAAGGTTCACCGCACGCAGTGTGGCAGGCTCTCGCAGTGCCTGAGATCAGATGCCTACCAAGATCGGATGGCTCAAAAGGTGAAGGGTACTGTCGTGGGCCATGGGGCGCAATGCTGCGGCATGCTGCAGAATGTATGCCTCGAGTTCAGCCAATCTTGGAGATCCATCTAAGCCTTGAAAATCTCCCGTACCAGTCCAGAGTGTTGCTTCACCCAGGCCAAACCGAGGCAGTTCAAAAGGAATTCAAACATCTCTAAATCTGAAAACGCCGCGTTTTCTTTTACGTGTCAAATCCGATTAGGTTGGAGGCCATTGCTATTAGCTTGGAGGCCATCGCTCTTAGGTTGGTTGGAGGCCATTGCTATTAGGTTGCCAACAACATGTCTTGCAGAAACAATGAGGATTTTCCAGCGTTGCCTCAGTTGCCGTCACCTCTTAGAGGTGTCGAAGCAACTCTCCAGGCTTTCCCAATGCACATGGCATCTGGCTTTGGGAGGACTTCTCAAGTTTGTCCAACCAAATGTGACAGCCAACCCTGTGGCCTATGCGGCCCGTGTTGCGCCACCCTAGCTGCAAACTCAGATATTCTCCTGGCCTGCTGTCACTCTGTACTGAGATAAGCAGTGCTCCGTACAACTAGAATCCACTCAGCGAGTGCAGAGAGACTGGCCTGGCAGGTGGCAACACAAATTGGTTGTTAGAAAGTCATTCCTCCACGTGGGTGATGGAGTTTCTTTACCTGCAACTGCTGTGCTGAAGTGCACGTGAGTAGGCGTAAAAGAAAGCTCAAAGGGCATCTTCAGTTCAACTTTCAAAAGCATTCCTGTGTCAAACACGTTTTTATAAGAAGCCTTAACGTATTTTTTGTAAGCAAGGAGTAGCTGCCAAGAGCGTTGTTGCAAGTATCGAAACCGGGGCCGTCAAGACCTAAGGTAAGCTCTGCGCCAAGTCTTCCCAGAGTGTCCATCTTCACCAAACCATGTCGGACATCTTCACCAAATTTGAACTTCTCTTGAACCCACTTTGTGACCGATTTGATGTCCCGATGCGTTGACTCGGAGCTGCCTCTCAGTGGCACTTCAATTTCTCATCTTTGGCACCCTGGTTGCAGGGTCACATGAGACATACGTGTAAAGCAAAACTGCACGCCTTGGAGCCTCCCAAAACTTAAGCTTCGCAGCCAATAGCCCAAAACAAGATTGGGAACGAAAAAACAACCTCACGAATCACTGCATAAATGCAGACAGGCAGACAAACAGACAGACAGACAGACATTGCAAATTGGTTGACTTCGGATTTGCACCAAACTGCCTTTCGCGCCAGTGCAGAAGCTAGTACTCGAAGCATAGCAGCAATAACTACTGAGCAAGGCCAAGCATACCTGAGAAGCCAAAAGTTTGAAGCTGTGCGGCTTGTAGTGCACATTAAAAGTAAAGAAAGGACTCCACATAGGGAGATACTATCGAAATCAGGATGAGTTTCAGTCTTCAGCTCATGCTGTAATGAGAAGCTTCAGCAGCCGAGCAGCCTCTGAATGCGGATTTCATGGCAGCCAAGGCCATACGCGTTTCCCGTAAAGAGCAAACACGAAGCCATGACCTCTCATCGACAAGAAAATGAGCCAGCGAATTAAGGCAGGTAACAACTTCGTTCCAACGTCAAAGGGAATTAAGCAAGTGATGTTTTTTTGCAAGGGGTAGTTCATTTAAGGTATAACGGTAAAATTGCATGCCTTAAGCTAAAACCATTGACAAAAACCGACGCCTGTCACTTCAGCGGTTCGAGTCTCTGCAACATTGAAAGACTTCAGGCTTGAAAGACTGACTACCCCTTCCTATGGTCGCACTCGAAGCCAACCCTTGACCTTTTGACCTTCCTCTTTGCCCTCTTTCCAACAAGAAGACTTTGCACGACGACTTCAACGACTTCGTTGGATAGGCCTTCATGGCCTGGCCCACAAAAGCCTTATGCAGTGGCTCCGGCGCCAGGAGCAAACGATAGAGCTTCAAGCCGTTCCCAAGTCCAAAGCTGCAGGTCGTCATCATGGCATAGACCTCACGTCAACTCATGTCCACTACCTGGTCTCCACCCTGAAAGCAATGGCCTCCACCCCAATAGCGATGCCCTCCAACCTGATAACAATGGCCTCCACTATTCTGCAGGAGATGATGCTTGCAATATCCGCCGACCCCAGCTTAGTGAGTGCCTAGGTGGGGCAGCGCCAGGGATACGAAGGTTGCAACGTGGGAGGTTCGTTGCATCTATTAAGCAGCTCCTAGCAGCTCTGCCTCTGGCCCCTCAAATTTGTTCAATTGGGCTTGCTGCGGTCTAGAGCTCCTACCTGCTTTGTTCTTAAGCAGTTCCTACCTGCTCTGCCTCTGGCCTCTCAAGCCTATTTTTGCTTGGGCGACGAACCTGCTTTTGGGCGTAGAATTAGATGGAGGAAAGCTGTGGCGCTACCTCCGCTTTTTGGCTTCGCTTTGCTTCTGGTCTAGAGCTCCTACCTGCTCTGCCTCTGGGGTCATTTGATTTTCAGGTGGAACTTGCTGTCCAGGCGGTACTAGGCGTCCAGCTTGAAGCCCTGCCAAGGATAGCAATGAGGAACACCCAGTACACCGGAAGGACTGTTTCATGAGGGGGGTTCTGGAAGCACTGCGTTGGCAGACTGCAAAGAGACCTTGCTGAAGTGCGTCCTCTGGTCGTGCCAAGCTATGGGTGCCTTGGAACGTCAAAACACTTTGCATGAACGCTCGGCTTTCCTAGCTTTCTAGATTCCAGAGCTATAGTAAGGTGACGGAGTATGGCGGCCTAGGGATCCGGATGGACAATGTCTCGATCAACTACCCTGCGTTGGCGCGTCAAGGCTGGCGCACCTTTGGCTCAAGGTTGGTGACCAAGCCTGGATCCACCAAATGTTCAGCTTGAAGAGAACCAGAGCTCGATCTAGTCTGGAGGCCTACGTGTGGTTTTGACATGTTTTGACACGTGTCCGGTTGGCCAAGGAAGCTGGCATCATGGAAGGAAGTTCTGCTGTCCTTATTGTTCAGCTTGTTCTTTTGTAGATGATGTCCCAGTTGTACACGGCCTGTGGTGATACAGCTTACCACCGCGGGACGTCGCGCGCCTGCAGTTCCAACTCTCTACAAGAAAACACCCTTCTAAATCAAGTGAACGAGTTGTAGTGAGATCTTTGTGGGTCTGAGGCCAGGGACCACCAAAGCTGAGCTTGTCCGGATCAATGGCAGGTTGGAGGTGACAGATCTGCCAGGATTTTCTCCAACGCGTGGGCCTGTCAGGATCTTTTTCCTGAGATCTCCCCTTTGTACTTGTACCGGCCAGGTATCGCCGTAGATTTGCTTCACGTGATGGACCTGCAAGTTATTCTGGATGCTTTGTGGAGTTCGATTTTGGAAATCCAAACAGAATATTCTTTGCAGTGGCTCCAAGACAACTACACCAAATGGTGTCATGAAAAAAGCTGTTTGGCAACAAATCCCTGACCGTGCATCCTTTGTTTTGTTGTGCTTGGTTTCTAGGCCTGTAGACTTGAGGCATACCTCATTCGGCTCGATCATCCCACAAGTTCTTCAGCAGCAAAACCTTTACTGGAAGTGGAAACGATTATACCCATCTGAGCTGGAAGGTGCTCAAAGGCATAGCCGCCCGCTTCATGATCTGCTGGATCACCCCTATCCTTTGTGGGCCTGCCAAATCGGGAACCTAACAACACAAGGGCTGCGCAACTTGTCATCCCCATTGTTTGCTACTGTTTGGCGTCAGTGCTTGGAGTTTCTTCTCACCCACGGGTTGGTATTCGAGGTATCGGACGAACGTATTCATATCTTTGGCCAGCATCTACACAATCATCGCCGAAAGTGGGCCCTTGAGCAGCAACAGCGTCCCAAGGCATGATTCTTGATTGGAGAAAACACCAACACCTTGACTCGGACCTTGACCCTAAGGAAGTTCTTGACCCCGGAGGCGCGGAGGCAGATCAAGACTTTGTACGAAGAGTTTCGCAAGTTACATAATTGCCACTCAGCTGATGGGTGTTGAGACTTTGCATTACTTGGTGGGGCCCTCTTGCATGCCCTGTGACATGGCTGGCTGGCATCTTCGGCATGGGATATTCAGATGGCCGCTGTATCCTAAACTACATGGCTCTGAACACCTGCCACCCGGCTCAAAAAAGAACTTCTTGCGAAGCGTGTTCAACACAGCTGTTCCCGGCGCTTGGAGAAACCTCAGGTTCACCGACCAAACATCATTGTGGAATCCCAGACACATCAGTTGCACATTAGATGAAGATTTGATACATTACTGCCAGACCCTTGGCCTATCCCGCGTCTGTGTTTGTGCACACGCTTGTTTTCTCCCAAAACCTCTGTGATTTACCCAAGGAAAATATGCAAAAATGGACACACACCAACGATGGGTGTTCGTTCGCTCCAGCAGTACTGTGCGACAATGTGTTTCAACTTGGCTTGGAAGCGACATCTTCAATTAGTAAAAGGGTGTGCTCCAAACTGTTCGGCAAGGTTTCCCACGTGGCTTCCTTCCCCCCGCAATTAAGAAACAGATGTAGAACAATGTTTGAAAATATAAACATATGTGGCTCAAGAATGGTGAAACCCGCTTCCTTGCTCCTAATAGGGGTTGGCGGCACCCGGGCGTTAGCCCATTCTATAGACTTGGATAGACTTGGCATGTGCCAGCATGACTCCTGCTCTTTGTCAAGCTGGTGATCATCACTGAAACTTCAAACCTTGAAACATGGCCTAAACCCTGGCAGGTTGACCTCGCTAGTAGTCTATTCTGTTCATTTTGGGTGGTCCAACAGGGTGCCCACATCCACATCTTGCTCACTCATATTGCTTGAAGGTTTGGGATTTGCACTTGAGCGCCACTTTCACTTTGAAGAATGTCACTGGATTACGAATATTTAAGGCTTTGCTGTGTTCCGTCGCACCATGTTTGACTCAGCTGTACAGCACCGCCGCAGGCTGAGGTCAAGAGGCTGGAACCGGCAGGAGCGGAGACTGCGTCAAGAGCTGGTGCTCCAGTGAGGTGGCCACGGTACCAAGCCACGTCAATAGCATGGCAGCCTGGGAGCACAGCCACATGAGCACTTGAGGGCGACATCCAGTGATTCACATGGCCACAAGCCTTCTATAAAAGCCTTCTAGTTCTGCCTTCTATGTTCTGCTTTCTCTGTTTCTCATCTTGTTCTTCTCTTTCTGTTCTCAAAGAAACGTTCTTGTTACAAGTAGGGGACTTGCATCTCATGCCAAAGCACTTGTACGAAGCGTTCGTGTGAGTTGAGTATACCCTATGGAAGCCGTGGCATTCTTACTTCTGATGGTAGCTGCCATTTCGTGAGCTGGTACTCGGAAGGGGCAATCATGGCCAAGATCCAACGCTATTTGTATAAGGCATTCTAATAAGTAGGGATGGGAGCTTGGAGAAAAAAAAACAGTGGCTTCACCAGGTACATCTCCAATGCCTGCCATGTTTGAGCATTCTCTGTTTGGATGGGAAGGATGTCTAACTCTTGCCACAACACCGGTTCACCTGCCATCGCTACTAGGTTGGAGGCCATCGCTATTAGTAACAAGAAGCTACTAGGGGCTCCTGGCCTTACTACTAGGAGCAAGGACGCTAAAAGGGGCTCCTGGCATCGTTACTAGGAACAAGAAGCTACTAGGAGCAAAGGGCTACGAACGGAGCAAGGACGCTACCAGTAATAATGACAAATCTTCAAATCTTGCTACTAGTAGCGTCCTTGCTCCTAGTAGCGATGCCAGGAGCCCCTAGCAGCGTCCTTGCTCCTAGTAGTAAGGCCAGGAGCCCCTAGTAGCGTTCTTGCTCCTGTAGTCTCATGGCGAGGGACTGAGACTCCAATGGCTGGCAACAATTTCTCGGTTCCTGCACGCCATGCCCGAAGCAGCAACGGGTCATAGGCCACATGGAGCAACAACCTGCTTGTTCGCAGATTTCGGATGCATCTTTTGAAGGTATTCTGAACCGAGACTTGCCAAGATGTTCAGCTCACAAGGACTACAAAAAGCAAGCTAGGAATGAGTCGCAAAGAATAGACTAACAATCTTCCAAACAATCCTGAATCCACAAGTTGCTAAAGCGTGAGCATCATAAATCATGATGTTCCAATCATGAAACCAGTCACACTGAAACCATGAGCGCCAAGAAACCCAGATGCCAACAATGCACTTGGCTGTGGCCGACCCAACAGTGCACCCCCAAACGCGATATTCCTGACCAACGGACCAACTGCGGGGAAGTGATGACACGCAGTCAATGTCAGCGTGAAAAAGCTCCTAGTAGCTTCTTGTTCCTAGTAGCGATGCCAGGAGCCCCTAGTAGCGTCCTTGCTCCTAGTAGTAAGGCCAGGAGCCCCCTAGTAGTAGCTTCTGGAAAAATGAACATAACACACATTTTTGCACGTATCGATTGCTTTCAAGCAGTATTGACGCAACTCGACATGCTGACAGGACACAGGCATGGAGTGCAAGCTAGGATGTAGCCCCAATCGGTGTATTCCTTGGAGCATGAATATTCCCAGTGACAAATGTTCCTCCAGGATACGACGAAACTCCGCTCCAGACCTCCAGACCAGTAGCGGTCGCGTTGTGTTGAAAGAACACGTCCTTGCTGCTTTTAGTTCCTATTAAGTTGGAGGTACTAGTAGCTACTAGTAGCAAATGCATCGCTACTAGTAACAAGTGCATGGCTACTAGTAGCTAGAAGCTACTAGCAACCACAAAAAGAAAGTAGAGCAGGAAGAAAGTCGATAAGAAAGGCCAAAGGTTCTGCATGTCAACCCGAACGTCGTTCTTTCACTACTCTTCCGACATCGTTGCTCCAACTCAGTCGTAGTACTACTACCAAGCGGGGGTAACATCTTTACGTATATGTTGCGACTTCTCGAAATCCTGAAAGGGAAGGTTTGCTACGAGAGCAAGAAGAAGGAAGCTACCACCACCCTTCACCCTACCAACCCCATCCAACCCCATTCAACCCCCAATTGACACGACAAAAAGCACCTACTAGTAACAAGAAGCTACTAGTAACAAGTGCATCGCTACTAGTAACAAGTGCCTTACTAGTAGTAACAAGAAGCTATTAAATTTACTTAAACTTTAATTATACCAGCCCTTTTGTTACTACTAGCGTGGCACCTGTTACTAGTAGTAACAAGAAGCTATTAGAACCCCAATTGACACAACAAAAAGCATCGTCGGCGTCCACTGATCGCCACCCTTTCGAGCACAGCGACAGCGGATCCCTTGTGGATGCATTGCAAGCCATGGCCCGCCGCAAAGAGACCCGCTCCGATGAACTTCAAGAGATTCCTGTGCTAGTAGAAACAAGTGCCACGCTAGTAGTAACAAGTGCCTTACTAGTAGTAACAAGAAGCTATTAGAATTATTCCTTATTTTCGGAAAACTGTAAAAACTTGCAAGTGAACGTGAAAGTATGCAGTGCAATGGCTCTAGCTCTTGGACATCAGTACCCCTTACCACGAACTAGAACTCTTCAAAATATATCTTCTGTCTTCTCTATCTCTTTTTAGGCCTTTAGATATGTTTTTCTGTATTCCTTTTTTGCTTTTTCATTTCTTTACCATCCGCTTGGGTCTTAGACACCATCCCTTGGACTTTGTTCAAGCAGAAACGCTCGTTTTCGTTGGTGTTCGACGTGCAAACTAGGTGCCCAAGTGCTTCGGCCAAAGCTGGGGAACGTCTGTAGGAATGGACATACAGAGCTCGCAAAAGCTTCAAATAAATCAATGGTGCCTTGGAGAGCGTGTTGCGACGTAAAGATGATAAGTGAGGGACGGAACCCTCTTGATGCTCAGTGAGTGACCGAGCTGATCACCAACGCTTTCGGAAAGGCAAGCGCCGCCATGCTTGGTTTCAGGGCGTTCGCTGCGTTCAGAATGAGCCGACACTTGAGAAGTTTCAGACAGTGAAGTGCGATTGGCTGCGTCTTTTGCTGATGGAAAAATACTTTCTGAAAACCAACATGCTCCAGCCCACAAACTTGACTGAAAGCCAAGGCCTTCTTCTCCGTCGCTTTGGGATCTGTATAGCCATCAAACCTGAAGCCATTGATCTTTAAAAAAGAAGTAAAAACACTTTGGTGGAGTGCTCACCTTAGGTGGAGTCCAGACTAAAGACCCAATTCAACACAAGCTTTTTGGTTTGGGGATACCGTGGATGCCGTCATAAATCGTTATCCAAGGTACCGTTTCGAAGGATGGTCTTCCTTGATGGGGAAAAGTAGCTCGCCTCGGCCGGGTTCAATCAACTCAACCGAAGCAAAGCAGCAGCGATGCCCTTTGCTCCTAGTAGCTTCTTGCTCCTAGTAGTAAGGCCAGGAGCCCCTAGTAGCATCCTTGCTCCGAGTAGCGATGCCCTTTGCTACTAGTAGCTTCTTGTTTTATAAGGCGACTAAAAGCGTAGGCCAAGGCCTTCTATACGGACGGTTGTTTCGCAGCACACTACCCCTTCAATCACCAATCTCAACGTGTTGGCCTCTAAGCCTCTTTGGATCACTGCAGTCTATCTTTCGAAGGCCTTTACTTTCACGGCTTTCACGCAAAACTTATTTGTGAGTTTCAAAAAAAGGCTTAATGTAGTTCATTGCACTTTGAATCACAGTTGCAGTGTTCCTTTTTCAGGGACATGTGTATTGAGGGTGCCTGGCTCACCGGGCGCAGCTTCAATGCCTCAATGGCTGGTGCTATCTCAAACGAAAGCTTCAGAGCAAAGCTTCACAACCGAATTCAATCCAAAGTTTCACAACCGAATTCCAAGCTCAGAGCAATGTCCTTTGGAATCGCGAATTGGGCATTCATTCTCTACGTCGAACTTCACAATCTTGAAGCCTGTCACCTAGGACCACAAATCTGGCAAACCTTTGGAAGCCTTGGGCTTGCTTTCAACAGGAAGCCTAGAAGAAAAGAAAAAGAGTTTGAGTAAAGGAAGGGGAAGGGAGGGAGTCCGGGAGGGAGGGACGAAGGAAGGAAGGAAGAAAGGAAGAGGTCCAAAAGAGTCCAAAGGTCATATATTTTGCAATGTGTAGTGTAGCAAATTCGGCACATATGTCCAACCTAATAGCAATGGCCTCCCACCTAATAGGTGTGGCCTCCAAGATGAACAGGTCATGTTTCATTTCAACTGAGACGTGCTTGGCACTCCGACCAAGTCAAAGCCCAAGCCTCCACGGCCCACGGCACCTCGTAGCTGCCGGTCAGACTTCCTGAGTAGTCAGGCTTCCGATTGCAACCAATGGTGGGGTGCGTGTGCATATACACATATATATATATATGTATTTGAAGCCGCTAGTATAGAAGATTTGAGGGGGTTGCCAGGAAAGGTTCAAAAGAAAAATATGCATAAATGTCTTCTAGAATAAAGGTCTTGAGTATATGTTGATTTGTGTCTGTTCCAAACGGGCCATTCCAGTAATTGGACACATTCTCAATGACGATCACTATGGTGTGAATTCAATACTCCCAAAACGTTCTTGTTGCCACCAACCTCCCTCGTTGAAAGTACTGTGGACATGAAGTCAGAGATCTGAGGCCTTTTAATGGCATTCTTCTAAGTAGCAAGCAAAAATAGTGCAAGGAAAAGTGACAGGAAAAACAAAAAAATAACTAAAACATCTCTTTGGAAAACCTTCGTAAATGACTACGTGGGTTTCAACGAAACGGTGTTGGTTTCAACGGAGTGACCGTTTCGACGGATCCGCCTGCAGACATTCACGAGGGCGCCGTTGCCTTCAGTGGCACCATAGAACCTGTGTCGTGACGGCACCCGGACGAAGTCCCTCACTGCTTCACTTCTTTTTCCCGAATGCGTAGCGAAGGGTTCCCGTTTATAGTTGGGGGTCTGGGGGTTGGAGCTGTGTTCGCGTGGCTTGCGTCGTGTCGTCGTCTCTCGTCGTCTCTCGTCGTCGTCGCGTCTCAAATTTGCTGCCATTGGGGGAAGCTTTTGCAAGTGACTTTGCATGGACGTGTCACGTGTCAGTTTGCGCCGCTATTCCATTGTGATTTGCATGACCAGGACATGTCGCGCAAGAAACGTGATGCATTTCGCTGCACAGGCGCAGCATTTTGTGAGATCGGCAGATTGCTGCGCAGTTCCATTGGGATTAGCGTTTGGAGAGTCGTGTTTTTGGGGTGTTGGATGTGGCCGTGCCATTGGGATTTGCGTTGCAGGGTGTGGCATCGAAGTCTCAGCTGAAATGGCGATTCTGGTGGATGGCAGTGTGCTCAGAACGGGTCGAAATCATTCCAAACGTGTGGTGTGGTGCAAATTTTGTTGAAGCTCACGTGAGATGATATTGTCACTTTTCGTGGCAGGCGCAGGACGTCGTGCGGGTTTTGAAGCGTGGAAGTGCGATTCTCGTGGCAGGCGCAGGGAATCGTGAGGTTGCAAGGTGTGAGGAAGGTGACATTTCGTGGCAGGCGCAGTACTTTGTGCGCGTTGGACGTGCGGATGGGGAAAGATTCGTGGCAGGCGCAGGGAATCGTGAGGTTGTGAGTTGTGGTAGAGGTGAATGTCGCTGTCACATTGAGATTGCCGTGTGAGCGGATGTTGTTTGGAGGGGCTGGAATCGCGAAACTGCTTGGCAGGGCTGCGTGATGTGTGTGCTCCGATGGGTGTTTCCGCTTGACTTTTGGAGGAAGTCTCGTACGAAACGCTCGTTTTGCAGACTTTGACGTGTGAGTTTTTGAGGAAGTCTCGTACGAAACGCTCGTTTTGGAGACTTGACGCGCA